GTATAATACTAAGCCATGCCAAATTATATAATAAAAAGGAAATTTTTTTTGCATAAGTCGATCTTTGCAATCCGATTTTTTTTTTTTTAGTTTTTTTTCCGATCACATTTTGACCTGAGCCAAAAAAAAAAAAAATATTTTGATTCAAATTAATCAAATTAATCTTAAATAAGGAAGTCATCGAATTAACAATCGCTCATTCAAAAAAAAAAAGCCTTAAAAAAGATCGAATTAACGGCAATCACGGTAATCACTTTTTCAGGGTTTCGGGTTTCCTTTTTTTTTTCAGTTATGAAAAAAATTCGCAAAGCCATAACTTTATAAAACAAAAATCTTACTTTCCGCAAAGCCTTATGATTTAAGCCACTCGGGATCAAAAAAGAATCTCGTCTGTAATTAGTAAATAGTCTAATTTAAATATTTATTTATATCTTTATCGTATGAAAGATATTTTTAAATATCGGTGTGAATTGTGAATAAATAAAAAATTATTCAAAAATGGAATTTCCCACCCAAAGATTTTTTAAACTTAGCCATTTGAAGGGTTGACTAAGCCACAAATATCAAAGCCACAGATCGATTAAGCCACATGTTTCCTGATTTTAGAAATCGAAATTTCACGTGATTTTTTATCTTACCAAAGAAGAGGCTTTCATTCAAATCAAGCATTCAAATCAAGATCATTGTTAACAAAAAAAGACTATTCCTGAGACGGAAAAATCATTAAAAAGTAAAATTCCGTGACAAAATAATATTTTATAAATGATTACTTTAATATGTATATAAATATATATTATATAAATATATACACACACGGACATGACACATTGACACAGCCACTCTTGTTAGTTCAGCAGCTCGATCGTATTTTAGATTTTTTTTTTTTTTAATCTTTTAAGTAAATAATAATATTTAATTAATCACATGATTGTAATTTTTGATCGATCGATCTCTGTTAAACCTGTTTAATTCTCGATATATATGTATATAATATATATGCACTTTCACAAGATAATATTAGTTGACTTGTTTGATAAATAAACAAATGAAACGTCGAACAGGTTTTGATCAAAAATTTTATTTTAGATAGATGATCTTATCCTATAATTTCAGCTGGAATTATGTTTTTCTGGCTCGAAAGAAAATCGCGTACGGCGATGCAGTTAATACCTTGACCTATTTCGTGTTCCAAAAGAATAATTCGGTTGGGATATTTCTATGATAAGTCAAGTTTTCCTTCTGCATTCTGCAACTCTAAGCGTTTGTTATTAAGATTATTTCATCTTCTTAAATGCAACTCTTAACATTAAGTTCGTAATAACAATAAGATTTTACGTCTTAATAACTTATTAAAGTCCCTTCGTACAGCTAAAAAAAATTTCAAAATATTTTAATTTATGGAATTGGATTCTAAAGTTGTTTAGTCTATAATAATCAAGAAAAATTCTTAAGCACAATGACGTTTAATGATCAAATGTCGTGCCTGGCCAGAATTACCTTAACAAATAATTTGACTAACATTAATATCACATGATCCAAATACAAAATGTGATTCTATATCAGATGATTATTGCGCAATTTGAAAAAAAAAATGCAACGTTTGCTAGGTATGACAGTGACAATTTTATAGAGAAACCATTCTGAACCCTACTAATTCGGTAATTCCAAGTAATGATTTTTTATAATACGATCAATCACAAGTGGTAACTCAAATTAATGTCCTTGCTTTATTTAGCTTTTTGATCAAAAATTTTCAAATTCTATAATTATATACATTTTTTGAAAATTTTTTACATATAAAAAACTTGCCCAGTCATGATTTTTTGGAATTTTTTTTCACATAAGTAGATATAAAAACTTGCCCAGCCATTTGCTCAAGAAAAATGTTCAAATAAAAATTAATATTCTAAATCATGTGGGACTCAACTTTATCATCCAGCCATTCGCGAGGGAAAAATGTCCAAATAGTTCCAATTATTGCCATTATTGTACTTATCACTAAAAACATTATATTTAATGCAAGTGTCTTATTTGATAATTGATGCCCAAATAATTTTAGATAACATAATATTGGGAATATTGCTGATATTAGAAAAGAAAAGAATGCTCCAAGTAGTGACTGAAATTTGTATAAAAAAAATCAGAATTTATAAATTATAAAAATGCAAACGAAAATTTTTTTAATAAAAAATCAAGACTTACCATCGCACGATCAAACTCTGGAAATATTATTGAAGTATATAAAATTAAGAAACTCACAAATGTCCTGGAAATTATAGTATAAACATTTCTTGAAAATTTTGATCCAATCGAAACCATCTTGAAAAATACGACTTCAATACTAATGTTGATGGGCGTTAACATGAGAGGATATTTAGATAATGGATTTATAACAATCATCCAAATTACAATAGAATTTAAAAGAACGTTAAATCCACGAGTCGACATTATATTTATTGTGATCTATAATAATTTATAATTGTTTAAAATAAGAATAAAAATAAAATAAACCAACCTTTAATAAGCTTTAGTAAGAAATTTGCTTACCTCTTCCATTGTTCCCGATCCAAACATAAGATAACCGCTCGCTGCAACAGTAATGTAAATAGTGCTTGCAATTAAATAACTGTAGTTGACCATAGAATTATATGATTCAGGTTTTGCCATATCACGATAGAGTGAAGGAAAAACGGCGTGGCCTGTGAACCCAGCATTGATAAGACCAAAAGCTAAAGGCAAGACCATCCAATTTGGTGGAAGAAAATGTGTTTCCATTGGATTAAGAAGACTTCCTGGAGGGTCAAATTTAGTAAAACCATCAATCAGAATAACAACTGCCAATGATATTGTAGCAGCTATTCCGAATATTGAGACGTGTGACAAAAAATGGATAGGCATCCACGTGGTAGGTGTTATTATAAAAAACGCAATGAGTTTCAATCGCACAAGATCGACATTTGGAAATAGAGTTTGGAGTGAATCTCCAGTAAGAATCATTAAAGCGACACTATTTAAAAATATAAATGTCTTTATTATAAATTCACAAGAATAATATATCAAAGATTACATAACATTACTCACGTTGCGTTAAACAAATCCAACAAGAAAAGGCCTCCCATGATCAATCTTCCTTTTTTGCCGAAAGCCAAATATGCAAGATCTGCGTAGGTAAGACACCCAGAATCGGTATCCAGACACTTTTTAATAAGTTTTGCTGTATAATTCGTTTGAATTAAGCAAAATAAAAATATTGAAACTCCAAAAAGCCATCCTGCATATTTGAACGCAAACGGAAGTGACAAGATAGCAATTCCCATCAATGCATTCTGATGAACGAAAAAAAGTAAGAGAATAAGTTTTACCGTGATCATAAATATTCCCGTGCTTTTTCCACATCAGTTCAATATTATCAAAAATATATATATTTTTATATAATAATATTTTTGGAAAAATTTGGCATACCACAGAATTAAAAACAGTTTGTTTGACAGTAGATTTTCCAAAATCTTCTACAATAGTAACAGGATGGGAAATCAAAGGAGTTCTTTCACTTGCATCGTCAGTAATACCCGTAGCGGGTAGTGTAACATTATTTCCATATTCCCTTCGACTATTATCTCCATCATTAGGTTCGACTTGTCTTCGTCCTTGAAGATATGTTGCCATCTGTGATTTTACGGACATTAAAAAAAATAATTTTTTTTTTTTGGAAAAAAACTGAGAAATAAAAATAAGGAATAGTGTGTATATTTATATTATTTATATAAGGAGAACGTAATGTCACGTGATATATATATTCTTCATATTTCCGGAGTTTTCGGTTTTCTAGAAGAAAAATTAGTAAAAATTGGAATGTTTCAATGACAGGTAACGAATCAGAAATTAATCAAACTAAATATGTCTAGATATTATGCGTATAATGAGTCTAGGCGCAGTAGGTGCAGAACCCTAATAATGAAAAGGGTTATTTATGCTTGATGGCGTCTTTTTGTCATAGAGCTTTTGCTTATAAAGTAATGAAATGCTGTATTTAGATATCGTTTGAATGAAAGATTAACTAATTATAGTTATAGGCGTTACAAATTATTTTCATTTAATATTTCTTATCTTGTTATCTATTATTTTTGTTTAGTGATACACTTATCGCATCTGGTCATGTGGCCATGATCGACACAACGATAAAACCTTAAATTTTGGTGTCGAATATTCGTGTTATCGTGTAACAGCTTGCCGCGTGAATTTTTATCAGAACTAAATAGAAATATGAATTCAAATAATGACCAAGAAAATGAAACTCAGAAAATGAAGTCTGAATTTAACGAATTAAGCACCTCCAATTTAGGAAGCGTCAATAATAAAAATTGTTCTTATTGCAATAATCCATTTACAGCAGAAGAATTATGTTGTAAAAATTGTGGGCTATATAACATAATGGAGGGATGGAGTAGTGAAAATTCGGATATCGATAAATTTATAAAAGATACAATGTATAATGAGATTGAAAAGGCAAGACATCGTATTTATTGTCAATTTAAATGTCTCGAATGGGTACCGTTCGGTAGATTCACAAATATAAAAAAAATAGGTGAAGGTGGATTTGCTAAAGTTTATTCCGCAATGTGGAATGATGGTAGATTAAATTATGAAAAATATTGTGATTGGAAAAAGTTGGACTCTAAACCTATAAAAGTTGCTTTGAAACGATTAAATGGATCACAGAACATTTCAACCGATTATTTAAACGGGGTATAGTTTCATATTTTTTTTTATTTTAATTATAAGATATTTTAATATTAATTATATTAATTTTGTTCAAAATTTCTATTGTAATTAATAGCTTAAAATGGATTACGATTTATTAAAATTTTATGGAATAACTAAGGATCCAATAACTAATGAATTTATGACAATTTTAAGATTTGCAGAACGAGGAAATTTGAGAGATATTCTTTCGAATAATTTTAACAATATGTTTTGGAAAGAAAAAATTAATTTGTTGTGTAATTTATCAACATATCTTAAAAATTCTCATGAAATGGGATATATCCATAAAAATTTCCATAGCGGAAATGTTTTTTATAACAGCTCTTGTAAAAGATATTACATTGCAGACTATGGAATATACGGGTCGGCGAGCGAACAAAATTCAAATAATAAAATTTATGGAGTATTACCATATATTGCGCCAGAAGTTTTAAATGGAAAACCACATACATTATCTTCTGACGTTTATAGTTTTGGGATAATTATGACTGAACTATCGTCTGGGAAACCACCTTTTTATGATAAGGAACATAATGCAGGTTTAGGATTAGACATATGTAAAGGACTTAGGCCAGAATTCGGAGAAGATACTCCAGAAATATATAAAAAATTAGCTAGTAGATGTATGAATGCTAATTCAAATCAAAGACCAACCGCTATTCAATTAAATAAGATGTTAGAGTTTTGGAAAAATTCTATTGATGGTAAAACATATGGTTATAAAGAAGAAAAAATTAAAACTGCATTCGAAAATGCCGATATAGAAATTCGAGACATCTCAATTGAAAAGAATCCTGATGCTGTATATACTAGCAGAATATTTACATTTAGCGAACTGTCGGAACCTATTAATTCATATTATTTTTATCATAAAAGTTGTTCTTATTGCGGGAAATCATTTATCGAGGAATTTTGGTGTGAAGAATGTGACCCATACAATATAATGGAAGGATGGAATAGTGGAGATCCGAATGTCGATAAGTTTATAAAAGATACAATGTATAATGCGAGTCAAAAATCTCAAAATAAATTTCTCGAATGGATACCATTTGATAGATTTATAGATATAGAACTAATTGGTAAAGGCGAGTATACTGAAGTGTATTCTGCAACGTGGATAGATGGCAGGTCACATTATTATAAGCTTGATGGAAATTGGAGGAAATCAGGTTCTGGACATACGAGAGTCGTTTTGAAAAAATTGAATAGCTCACAGAATATATCAATCAAATATTTAAATGAGGTATTGTTAAAATTTTATTTATTTGCTAAAATATATTTTAATAATGATTACTAAAGTTTTTTTTTGTATATAAAATAGCTTAAAAAATATTACGAGTTAAATAAATCGGGTTTAAACTTTTATGGAATGAGTAAGAATCCAAAAACTGAAGAGTTTTTGTTGATTACGGAATTTGCAAATAATGGAAACTTAAGAAATATTCTTTCAAGTAATTTTAACAATATTTTTTGGAATGATAAAATCAAATTGTTATATAATTTAGCAATAGACCTTAAAAACTTACATGAACGGAAATATTTTCATAAAAATCTTCATAGTGGAAATATATTACAGATTCACAATGGATATACATTACGAGATTCATATAACTCAGGAACTTTCCGTAAAAAGGTTTATTATAATGTAAAGAGATTACAGCAGAGATTACTGGATAATGCATATTATATTTTAGATTTTGGATTAACTGGATTGGCATGTGAACAAAAAGATAATATAATATATGGAGTTTTACCTTATATTGCACCAGAAGTTTTAAATGGAGAATCATACACATCATTATCTGATATTTATAGTTTTGGAATAATTATGGTCGAATTATCATCTGGGAAACCACCTTTTTATGATAGAAAACATGATTCAGATTTAGCATTAGATATATGCAAAGGACTTAGGCCAGAATTCGGGAAAGGAACTCCTGAAATATACAAGAAACTAGCCTATAGATGTATGAGTGTTAATTTAGATCACAGACCAACAGCTAACGAATTATACAGTATTTTAAATGATTGGCATAATTACGAAATTGTTGGTTATAAAAGGAAAATAACTAAACTTATGTTTGAAGAAGCTGATAAAGAAATACCAAATATTTCATCTTTATACAGTAAGAATTCTGGTGCTATATGTACTAGTAGGAAATTTACATTTAGTAATATGCCAAAACCCGTTAATTCATCTATCATTGCTTCATATCTTAAAGGTATAGTAACTTAATTTTAGTAAATAATTTAAATAATTAATTATATGTATTAAATAATTACTAATTTGTCATTTTAATTATTGTAAAATTATAAAGATTTACCAAGAGAACTGATTGATTATAAAAAAATTTCCAATAATTGTTCTCGTTGCAATAAACCATTTATTGAAGAATCATGGTGTAAAACATGTGATCCTTATTGTATGATAAATGGATGGACCAGTGGAAGTTTAGAAGTTGATGAATTCATTAGTAATACAATTTATAAAGCAGGGTCGGAATCTAATTCTACATTTATTGAATGGGTACCTTTTGATAGATTTGCGAATAAAGAACTGATTGGTGAAGGTGGATTTGCTCAAGTATATTCCGCAACATGGATAGATGGTAAATCAAAATATGAAAAACAAAACGATGAAAATTGGATAAAATTAAATTTTGTACCTAAAAAAGTTGTTTTGAAGAAATTAAATGAATCACAAGATATATCAGCTAAATTTTTAAATGAGGTATATTTATATAACATTTTACTAGTATTTTTTTTTTCTTAAGAAAATTATTTTACACAGTAAAAATTTTTGAATTTTATTTAAACAATAGCTTAAAACGCACTGGAAATTAAATGCTAAATCATATGATTCAACATTAAAATTTTATGGAATGACTATGGATCCAAAAACTAAAGAATTTATGATGATTATAGAATTTGCGAATAAGGGAAGTTTGAGTAATATTCTTTCAAAAAATTTTAGCAATCTTTTATGGAAAGATAAAATAAAATTGTTATATTTCGTAACGATAGACCTTAAGAACTTACATGAACTGGGATATCTTCATATGGACCTTCACAGTGGAAATATCTTACAAAATGGTGAGGCTTCTTATATTTCAGATTTTGGATTATCTGGGCCAGCAGGCAAACAAGAATCTCAGGATAAATTATATGGAGTTTTACCATATATTGCACCAGAAGTTTTGAATAGAGAGCCATATACATTTTCTTCTGATATTTACAGTTTTGGTATAATTATGACTGAATTATCATCTGGAAAACCGCCATTCCATAGTAGAGAACATGACCTTAGCTTAGCATTAGATATATGTAACGGAACTAGACCAGAATTTGGCAAAGATACTCCAGAAATTTATAAGAAACTAGCTTATAGATGTATGAATGCTAATTCAATCCAAAGACCAACAGTTATTGAGTTAAATGAGATATTAAAATTTTGGTATATTTCCACTAATCAAAACATAATGGGTGATAATGAAGAAAAAATTAGAGCTATCTTTAAAGAAGCTGATAAAAAAATACCAAATGTTTCAATCTCATATGAAAAAGATACTAAATATGTTAGTAGAGCACTTTCGTTTGACAATTTACCAAAACCTATTAATTCACCTATTATTACTTCATATCTTAATAGTGAAGGCTTATATAGGTTGATATAATTACTAAATTTTAATAGATCTCCATGACTCTACATTAGCTAACTTAGATTACAAAAGGTAATAGACTAATAGTAATAGCAGATAAGATATTACTAAATTTTTGTATTTAATTCAGATGTTTACGAACAAGTTAAGAAAATCGATAAAGTTCGTTTCTTTGTTCCTAGTATAAGTGGTAAAATGAGGATATGACACGACCGGCCGTGTGGCAAATTAATTAAACTATGGTATACTAGTTTATTCAATTAAATATGTGTATATTCTATAGGACATTTTATTTATAGCTATTGCATTCATATTGATTTAGTTATTTTATAGAATATGTAACTATTTTTTAAATAAAAAATTATTATTATTTCAATATTTTTGAAGAATTTAGTTGCCGTATACGGCATTAATTTTTTGTATGAAAAGAATCTAAAAAGAAATATAGCGAAATCGATGACTGCGCCCCAATAAATAATTGGCTATAATTAATAAGTATATGAATATTACTAATATACAGTATTTACTCGACTTTCGTACCTTGCTGCATCAGATTTAGTTCATAACTGATAATAGGGATAATATAATATAATCGTAAAATTTATTGATTTTTATTATGTTGTTGCTTATTCATTAATATTTAATAAAAATGGTACGCCATCCCCTAGTTAGTTGACGTCATATGTTCAGCTGTGGTTAGTTGATTATTACTTTTCTGTTATTAAAGCACTAACAAAAATAGTAATTAGTAATCATTTATTCCGATTGGCTGCGGCAATCAAATTTTCTAAGCTAAAAGTAGTAAGTATCAATTTTTTAATTAACCAGATTTAGGTAAAAGACTTTCCAAAATCAAAAATAGGCGTTTATGTTTTTATTAATTATGTAAACTAAAAATCATCATTCGTTGCTATTTTTAATCGCTTTAATTGCTCTGTGGCGCAAGCTTCAATATTTATGTACGATTAATAATAAAAATTACGTTTATAAAAAATTACTAATAAGGTTGCTTCTCGAATTTTCGGAGGATATTCTTTCCTTATCTATTAGGTTTCTATTTCAGGCAGCATGAAATATTAATTTTTCTTAATAGTTAGATTGCAGAGTATTTGAAATTATATTTCACATATTATATAAGATCAACTGATCAAGCGACAGTAAATAATTAAAATCAGATCAGATGAAATAATACAACTGAAGGTAATTCTGAGAAATTGAGGTCACATAAATTATAAAATCTCCTCATCTCTCAGGTTTTTGAATAATAAAATTTGTCTAACTTTAAAAGCCAACAATTTGTTATTATTTAAAATCCTTTAAAAAATAGTACCAAGTTTAGCCTACTTCACTGTGTGTTAATATACTTGGAAAATAAAAATAAATTTTTACTTATTATTAATATTTATATGAAAACAACGCATTTTTTTTATCGGTCAGCACAAAATGATCACGTGGAAAAGGAGTACTAAATTTTATAAAGCCTTAATTTAGGCCGATTATATAGATCAACGGATATGATCATGCAAGTTCAAATTTTATTATACTTCGAGTTAATGAATTATGAATATGTTTATAATATTTTATTTTCTGAATTTATCAAATTAAAGACAATAAATAATTTTGAAGTACTAGTACACTATTGGTCTTGTATAATTCTTTTTATGTAGGACAATGATTTTTTTTGTTTATACTCTAATTATTAAATATTAATTATTGATTTAAAATGTAGAATAAATTTAATGCTTGTAACCAATAGCGTAATGTTGGAATTATAATTGTTAAGATGTTGAAGGTTAAACATAATTACTAATACGAAAAAATTTACACACGTAACAGTCGTAACACACGGGTTTGTTATACATGATATTCAAATATCCGTCTGCTTGATTTGCTTAGCCATTTTCCGTTTCTATAAGTAAATTTGATAACGACCCTTAACATCGCCACAGAAAAATGGTTCATTTTGACGTTAGATTATCGATTATCCAAATCAAATATTTTTTTTTTTTCCTCCCTTCACTATACCTTTTTTTATAAACTCACATTTTTAAAAGAAGAGTCATTTAATGAGCCAAAACGACATTTATGATTAAAAAAATATTCGTTCAAATTTTAATTCATTAGAGAAAATGAATAAAGACATTATAGTGCTAAAAAAATCGTCAAGAGATCTTAATAAAAATACAATGTATTGAGAATAACTGTATTAGAAACATAAAGAACGTAAGGTTAAAATATTGCAAATCACAGAATATTGATTCGAAACTATAATTCCTTGAAATTTTATTAAAGAATAATAAAGTTCTATAACTTTCTAAAGTTCAATAAATCGGTTTAATTCTACATTTCTACTGAAAGGTGATTGTCAGAAATCACATGTAACAGGAATCACATGTAACCGGCATGTGTAATTGGAAAATAAAATCCTCCACGTGATTTTAATCAATTAAGCACGTCACAACACATGATCTCGAAAAAGTGTTTTTATGTATAATTTTATCGGATTACCGATTTAGTACTAACATAACGGAAAATTAAGCCCCGGCTGTTGATCCTGGCTGTGGGTATTTTGAGGCTTTAATTAAATAACTGTTAAAGTTGAGTATTTTTTAATTTAGTCGATCCGGTCAGTGTCAAGTTTTTATTATACCTATCTATCCGTAAGCCGAATGGCTCACCTATATATATATAATGAGAAATTTCTTTTTTGGGGGAATTAGTATGTATGTATATATAAAATGCGATCAAATTTACAGAATCTTTACATTACATTGTTCGTAATAATTATCTTTTATATATATCCTTTACATGCATTAGAAGAAGTGAAAACATTTTCTTATGAAGAAAAGAATTTTGGGCCAAAAGAAATACCTCATGTGTTACGTATAAGTTCATATGATGATGGTACGGTAGTAGCAAGAATAGTTAAAACTAATGTGGATAAATCTACATCAATTAAACATTGTAATCATGAAATATTTTCTTTAAGATTTATTTATCCTAATGGAACAGTTATCGAAAAAGATATTGATTTAGAAGGTGTTGAAAAGTTCAATTATTGTGCTATTTATAATACTGGTTTTGACGATCTTTTAGAATATGATTTAATAAGACCGAATCAAATTTTAATCCGTTATTTTAATACGACAAATTTTAATGATGTTAGCACATATGAAGGATGGGGAATGATAATTGATTTTGATGGAAAATTATATGACAGAACATCTATGGGATTTTGGGGCATTCGTAAGGAGTATAATAAACTTCAAACAACACTTAAGAAATTAGTATTTAATATTAATAAAGAGAAAGGATTTATAGTATGTTATAATGGTCCTGATCCCGAAAGTACAAATGTTACATGGCAACAATATAAAATTGAATTTGATGGAAAATTTAATAAGTTAACTCATGGAACAATTAAATTAACCACTGGTATAAGTGATGAAACTTATACGTTGATTCCAACAGTTGATGAAGGTTACTCTTTTGTATATAAAGTGATAACAAATGATTTGTCAAGAGGTCAATTATACGCTACATTTATAAGTTATAATCAAAAAGGTTCAGCAAATTTTATATTGTATCAATCAAATTTAGCAGATATAGAACCTGTACCAATATCTTGTAATATTGAATATGATGGAGTTGGCCATACTTGTTCCGTATCAGGACGTGAAGTAACTCGTATTACTACTTCTAATATTACACATAACAAGATTAGATTTTTATCATCCGGATCAATTGTTTCATTTAATGTTACAAACCTCATGCCTCCTAATAATACTGGTTTAACTTCAACTTGGATATTTGAGAGTTTATTGTTTGGTGGTTATTTAATAACGAAACGTGATGGGGTAATTGATGGAATGTATTTTTGTGTTTATCCTGAAAGCGGCAATATAACTTGTCCTTCGGGATTAGAACAACCTGTAAAGATAAATTCAAACTATGCATATACAGTATTACCAAATAATACTCTTTTGATCGCTCAAATAGAATATAATAATACTTGGAGATTACATGTAATAGATTTACCTAAACAAACAGAAAGAGGTAATGGTTATTTTAACACAAATATAAAATCAACATACCCCGAAATTCATTCCTCAATAAATTCGGATATTACAAATATTTCAATTGATTTTTATAAACCAGTAACATTATCATCGGATGTAGATGGTAAAATATTAATATATCAAAAGATAGGACAAAAGATTATTTTACGACAAAAAACTTTTGCAACACAATGTAAATTAGATAATGATGATACAAGAGTCATTATAGATATACTTAATAGTACTTTTAGTAAATCAGGAGGAATTTATTTTGTCAAAATTGAGAATAATTTTGTTAAAGATAGAAATTATAGGGAACCTTTATTAGGTGTAAAAGAAAATGTTTGGAGTTTTACAATTGAAGATAAAAAAATGACATATACATTCACTAGTTCAACAACTGGTTTATTTCGATTAACTGAAAAAGGAACAGAATATTGTGAAGGTTTATCAGATGATAAACAAAATAAGTTTTTTGATGAGTTATTGGATGAATTAGCTGATGCAGTTCAAATATTACGAAATCGTCTTAGTAAATATAAAAATTATCAAATTGATCCCAATTCGAATAAATCGAAACAAAAGAAATTTTTGATTTCTATAAAAATTGAAGAAACCAAGAATGAATATGAAAAAGATGTTGATACTGTAATAAAGGATATCAGTTATATGATGTCAAATAATAATCAAACTCCTATTGGAAATTATCAACTTGCTTATTTAGACTCTAATTATGGTTTTAACCCTGCTCGTAAGTATAATCAATTTTTTTAACTTGTAATATTATAATAATACTAAAAATCGTATTATAAAATTAGCGGATTATTGGCAAGAATATAAATTCAAATTATTAGGCATACTTTTAATCTTGATAGCATTAATCGTCCTTTTCATTCTTGCTAGTATAAGAGAAAAAAAGGTATTGTTAAATTTTTGAATATAATTTTTTAATTTTTTTACATCTTTAACATATTTATTTTTTAAATATATATATGTAATATATAGGGTCAAAATATTGCTATCTTTAAATTCGCCTTATTTATTTTTGATTTTATTGCGGATATTCTTTTTCTAACAAATAATGCTGATGATGTGCGTGAATTATATATTCCAAGGTATGATACATACATTATTATAAAGGTTTAAATGAACTAATTATTAATAAAGATTTTTTTATAGTATAATATTCTTTACAATTCCTATAGTATTCAATACAATATTTGCATTTTTAATAATAATAAAAGAAAATAAGAAATCAGAATTTTCTCACTGGTTTATGGAAAATAGTAAATTTGCAAGCATATTTACAATATTGGCAGGAGTTGATGTTGAAATATTAGGTATTTTGGAGTCAAATATAGCTGGGTTTAAAGTTTTTCAAGCTCCACTTTCTGATTCTGTTAGAAAAAAAATATTTTGGGGTGCTTTTTCAAACCTTTTTATTGAAGATATTCCTCAATTAATTATTCAGGTATTATAAATTTAAAGATTTATGAATTTTTTTTTTTTTTTTTATTATAATTGCATGTTAAAAACATAATTATATTTCTATTTGATTTATAAGATTTCCGTTATAATATCTTATAGAATTCCAATTTGAAGTTTTGCATCATCATCAATAAATCTTATAATTAATATCGTAGGACGCTTATATCAAGCTATAATATATGTTCGGAAGAGAAGATTACAACCTCTATCCATTATTGAACGTGATGATGAGTTGATAAAAGATACAAAATAAAATGTTACGTTAATATCTTAACGTATTGAATAGAGAAAATAATAATTCCTGGAAATATAGTATTATTATTAGTCACGTGAGATATGCTAAACGCGAATAAATTTAGAATTAAAATTTTCAAATCAACTTCATTGAATATCAAAAACAAATGCTTTAAATTTTATAATTAAATCAAATATTTCTTTGTCAATTACTTGTCCTATTTTCGCTTGTCCCTTTGAAATTGTATGGTTTATAATGATCCGGTTATTATAATAATTTTTTGCGCATACAAGAATTAATAAGAAATAAAAATTCGCTAGTTACCCTGTTAATTGACTTCCAGCAAAGTTTTTAATTAACCATCGATATTTATTATTGGTTACCATTTCTTTTCGTAAATAACTTGTTAAAACTTTTGCAATACTGAATATTCTAATAATATATTAAATTATTGATGACGGAATAATTTTAAATTAACAGACCGAGTTTTTTTTTTGTTAAAATACATTTAATACATTTTCAATTGTAAGTTACCAAGTTTTAACATCAGATACAATGTAAACACGAACGAATAGTAATCGGTCAAAAATAATACAAGTTTTAAATATTATCGAAATTCTCCAGTCAATTCAAAGAATAATTAACAATGATCAAAATTTCACTTAATAATTTAATATTTAATTAAAGAAAATAAAATTTTCTTCGTTTCTATTTTACATTTACGTTACTAAAAAACAAATTTTGATACAACAGATAAATTTACTAACTAAAGTTATCGATTTTTGAAAGAAATTGTACGTCTCGATTAACTTAATTTTTTTCCTAATGACCAAAAAACTTGAATAATAAAAATTATTATAAGTACCTGGAAAACGAAAACAATCTCATTAAAGAAAAACAGAGTAATTAAAACGAACCATAAATTATAAAAGGATAAATATTATGACGTTTGGTTAAACTAATCACATTCAATTTCTTTTCGCTCCAGTTAAGCTCTGAAATTGATATCTCTCAAAGGACTATCCAATCATCTTCACGTTCTGACTTACTGACTGATGCAGAGCCAGATGTGCTTGCCACTTGATGGGAAGTATTACTCTTGTAAGAAGGATTAACTTCAGCCTTGTATTTTCCTACCCATTTCTGGATCTGATTGATGATATCCTTTGCTTGCTGCAATTCATTTTTCAACCATTCAATATCTACTTCTTTATGTTTTGCTGAGTTTTCAGTTATTGATAATGATCTCAACGCCTGTATAACTTTCCCATAATGGTAATTCCTAAATTTAAAATTTTCATTGAAATTAGATAAGGAAAAAGTCATTATAAAGTTCTAAATGTTAACAAACCTTAGTTCATCTTCTAATTTTAAACGGTGGCTACTTTTGTTTGTATCTTGAGAGCAATTAGTAATAAATGTTTTTACACGCTTATATAAACTAATCAGCTCCACAACCACATCTACTGTCTGGCCTCTCAATAAAATATTATACTTAGACACTGATTCTTTATTTATTTCTTTTGCAATAACTTTACTGAAAACCATCACATCATTGTAAATCTTATTCGGAACTGGGTCATAATTAGGTTGACGTGATTTAACTCGTTTATGAACTCGTCGAATCCAGACTTGGATTTTTTTGGCAGCTTTAAATAATCTAATTCTGCGAAACCAGTCTTGTATTTTTATGATTGCTTTTTGAGATTTAAGATCACTAATCTTATTATACCAAACTTGAAGATTATTCACATTATTCACAGTTGTAACTTTTTCCTGATTATTTACTGATGATTTAATTTGCTGGAGAGCAGAATGAAATTCTTTAATAGATTTATATCTAAGCTTCTTAATACCATTTTCTTCTAAATTAGAAAATTTCGACAATACTTTCGTATGTCCCACATAATAGTGAACGATAACTAGAGAATCAAAACCTGTTTCCTTAAGATCATTATATAGAATATTTGTAAGTTGTTCCATAGATTTCTTTTCTAAATATTTTTTTATTTTTGTAGAAATAACTCTGCGATTCAAGTATTTGAAGAAAATAATGACTTTTGTTGCAAAATTTGGTTCATTTAGACCAATGAGTACCAAAAGACGTACTAGTCGAAGAATAATTGGTAAATAAATCTGTTCTTCACGAATTAGTAGATTAAGAAGTTGTTGGGCTTGATCAAACGAATTCTTGATCACGTCTAGATAATTCTCTCTTTCATAATTATGTTGATTATTTGAAATAAGCGGTTCTGCAGTGAACGCCTCAAAATAATTAATCAGATATGCTCGAGGAATACAAAAATCACAATAACCAGGTTTAATTGTAAAAACTAGAGATGTAGTAAATTCTATAAGAAATAGAAGATCGTTGAAAGCATCGGATGTAACAAGATTAATCAGCTGAGCGTTATCAATAGCATATTGGATAAATACTTTTATATTCGAAATAGCACCGATCACATTATTGAAATAAAGATGGAAAAAGAATGATGAAAGTCGATTTCCAACTGGTATTGCTTTGTTATACCCCTTGTAATACTCAAAACCAATAGGTAAATCGTTAGAATGTGAAATAATTTTTGTTCTTATCATCTCCAAATTGAGCTTATTAATACTATATCTGTCTTGTAGTTGCTGAAAAATAACCATACATTTCAATATAACTTCAAAGTTATTAATATTCTTAGAATCAATTAACCATGTATTGCGAACATAATCAATAAATATTTTACTTATATGTTCGGGCAATTTAGCAAATACCATGTAAGTGATCTCCGGACAACTTATCTGTGGTGATTGATAGCGAATATGAATTTTAACTAATCTTTCAGCCCACCACTCTTGTAAGTTACGAATTTTTTTAATTTGTTTGTCACTAAGAAAGCGATGATCTTTTAATACATTTACGTTAAACTCTATCATTACAGTGTATTGGAGACAGACTAATGTCAAACGTTGATACAGAATTGATGGTGTTGATTTCACATGATGTCGCCGGCAACCCGAACCTTCACAACAACAAATTTGATAACTTATATCTGGAATAACTCTACCCTTTTGGTCGGCATTTTGGACATGCTCAAAAATGTGTGGGATAAGACATTTTAAAATTCTTTGGTGTACTTTACTCGCATCATAAAAATGCTGATCGTTCATGGTTTCTTCTCTGTCCGCTATCTTGCTTTGATTCATTTCATTAACAATATGTAGAAGTGGATTGCCAAACGGAATTTGCCGTATTTGTGGGTTAATCTCTTTTATACAGAAAATTTCTTCAAAATTCTTTTTGGTTTGATTGTTCTTTTTGTTATTGATAGTCTTTATAAAAGAAAAGACCAATTCACACATCCATTGCAGATTTTTCAGTCGTTCATGATGGTGTTTGTCCTGAATATCAGATAATTGTGTAAGGATCTGCAACCATATGTTTACTGCATGAAACTCGATAGCAAGTTCTTTACGACTCTTGAAAAATTGTATATAATCGTTAATCTTATTGAAATCCTTAACTAAGTAAGCTGAATATAGATTAAACTCCGCTATTAAATTATTCCATTTCTTAGATTTACTTATCAATCGTGATTCAAATTCCATGATAAACTCATTCGCCTTGGAAAAATATTTTCGAAGAGTACTGGAACTCGTAATATATGTCATTGTTTCTTTCAGTAAATCAATTCTGCATATATATAAGATCAATTCTAATGTTTCGCTAATATCGTCTTCATTATTATCATCAATTAATCTTTTATACATATCAACAGCCTCATCATATTCACCATATGAAATGGCCCTAGAATGATAATGGTCTTTAATTTGACGAGCAACATGGCGAAATGTCTTGTTTTTAATTTCTTGTTTGTACCTATTTACAATAATTAATGTTAGATTGCATCATTATTTATAAATTCATTCAATAGTGAAATGAAATTGGGCTCACTTCAATATAAAATCGGCTGCAATTTCATAAAAGCGACCATCCTTAAAGGCAATAGCGGCATCATCATACTTTTTTGCCTTTTCAAAACATTCACCCGCTTCGTACCACATGTTGTTAGCCTTAACATAATTGCGCGCAGCAAATTCGAACATACCATGTTTGGCATAAACATCACCAGCTTCTTTATACATACTAACGTCCTAGAAATTTTTTGCAAATTTAAATATCAGCTTAAAGTCAATAAAAATGTTATTATAAACAAATATATTACCCGATAGCATAACGCCGCCTGGGTTGGACGAGAACACTCATTAAAGGCCATAGCAGCACTAGTAAATTTAGATTTTATATCATCATCATTTGAATCACTTATAGAATCCTTAGCAATCTCTCGAAGGTAATATGCATTGGCTAGTTTACGGCTCTCTTCATTTCCACTCTTTTCAAAGCAAAAAATAGCCTAAAAGTAACAATTCAATTTATTTATTAGTTAACTAAGGTACTCAATATCTCAATTTTATTTTTACCTGTTCATATTGTCGATTTTCGAAAAATTCTATTCCTTGTTTATTCCATTCACGCGAATCACTTTTCTTGGCCAAAGTAGAAAGAATAATTTCATTCATACTTTGACCTTCCTTGACTAGCCCGCCCCAATACTTTCGAATTGGCATACTACACTCAGTATTTTCATCACATATCCAGAGATGCTGCTTAGCTCTGGTTACTGCGACATATAGATGTTTGAGCTCTGAAGAAAGAATGTAATGTTTCTCGGGCGAAAAGGTCGGAACACCCTCAGAATTGTCCTTACAAATAGAAAGAATTACTCGCCACTAAAATAAAAAATAATAATTAAAAAATGATTTCACACGGCTTAAGATAATTAGTATGTGATATAATAATACCTTTCGAAGCGCAGGTGAATCAGTAAAGAAATTATATAGAAGCACATCGTTAAATTCCATACCCTTTGCATCATACACGGTCATCACCATTGCACCTCTACCGATTAATTTCTTCAAACGTGATTTGGCATCATCATCACGTACAATAATCACCTGATAAGCACCAAATTCAATAAATGAATTTTGATCTTTATCAGTCGTGGAGAAGATTTTAAAATATTCCTTTTGAAATCCATCAAAGATAATAGGCAGCGGACCACCGATTTCAGCACGTTCACGTGGCAGTTTATCAATAGAATTAGGGAAAAAGTGATGAATTAGATCAACTACTGAAGCAGCAAGTTGAAGAATTCCATCGTGAGATCGATAATTAATATCCAGATGAAATTGTTTCGGTTTTATAACGTTATGATTTTTGGTTGGTACCCGAGTATGTTCCCATTTATACATCAAGTCTTTTAAATCTATATTTTCAAAAAAAAAAAAAAAACCTATAAATTATCAAGAAAATAAAAAAAAAAAATTTCAAATGAATACCTTGAAATCGGAAAGAAGACCCTTTAGCAATACATTGAGCTATATCTCCGGCTAAAAAAATGCTACTAGCACGATCAAAAACTTTTAGGATAAGTGCTAAGTCCACAATGTGATTGTCTTGACATTCATCAATATATACTTCATGAATATGTAGGCTACCCAATGCTTTTTTTTCGGCATAACGAAGGATTGCTAACGTTCTGCAAAAAGGTTCAAATAATATTAAAAAATTTCTTAAAAACTGAAGAATTACGCAATTTGATCTTACCGATCCATCGAATCATATTCATTATTTCGCGCCTTCATCTTTTCATAATGTTCAAATAAATCATAAATCTGTTCCCGATTATAGAGAAATACTGGATACTTTTTGGTACTGACGTCTCTGTAATCCTCTCTTGATAAGAAATCTACTTCAGGATTTGTACCCTTAATTTTTTTTTAACAAAAAATAAAGTGAAATTATTTATTTAGATAAGAATTACAGTATAATAAAAATATATATATAAACTATTGATTTCGTACCTTAATGATAGAAAATTCAGAGTAAACCAACTCGCATTCAAATTTTTGATTACAATAATCACTAAGTGAAGGCCAATACCTTTTCTGAAAGGCCTTGTAATTTACAAAATTCTTGTCTTCCATATTGATGAAAGAGGGTTTTCGGTTATTTTTTTTAATATATGAATCATTATTATTCGAATTCAACTTCTTTTTTATGATCAGGTCCTGATTATTAATGCCATAAGTTCCCTGAAGCATTTTAACAAACTTATCGAAAGTAATAAACAAAGGAAATTTGTCCTCTGTCAGCTGCAGATGATTGAATGTGTCTGGAATACTATTTAATTCTTTCTCCTCGTCTTTCTCTTCGTGCATTATTGGAGCGGAAGCGCCTTCTTCCTCTATCTTTTTTCTATATTCGCGAAATTTCCTCTTAGTTATCTCTTTCCTAGAAAGCATAGCGGAGTCTCGCAATGTGTAAAAATGTTTCTTCACCCGATAACGAAAAGTTGGGCTTACTGTAATAAAGATTTGCCTTTTATAAAAATTTCTGTTATTATCATATAAAGATGGGGTTTTGTAGAGTTGGCTGTTTAGGTATGAAGCGAGCTGTCTATACACAATGCATGTAGTCTTGCCAGTCCCTAAATGTTATAGAATATTATGGTAAATATTGCAAAATATATTAAAGAGTAAGTGTTATTTTCTACTTACCTGATCGACCAACAACAATCGCTGACGTAGGACAGTTAATAATTTCATACTCATTCTTGGATACCTGGAAAGTAAAATTAAGACCACCCAAGACGAGTGACTTATACAAATTCTACAAGAATATCATCTATTAAAATACATTCTAATTAAATATTTATATGTCGTCCGTATATACTTTACCGTTGATAATGGAACAAACTTATTTGTAACAATCATCTCATGAATCATTAACAACTCATCATCTGTTCTTAAACTATACATTCTATCTTTAAAAGTTTCTGCATCTACTTCAAGACTTATTGGTAAAATTTTATTATCTTCAATGTTTTTTTTCGTACACCAATATCTCTGATTCGGAGTATATACTTGATGAACTATTGAAAGATTTTTCAATATTTTGTTAAGTTGTTCCTGATTATCAGTGACAGCCCAAATCTTAACAAGTTGTGTAAGTGAATTGCTACGAATAGTGAATCCATAATCAACCTGCCAAAGAATTTTCAGATCATCATTGGGAAGTACTACCTCATAAACAGGAATAGTACTATGTACATGCACTTTATCACTAGTTTGCACTGCTATACATCTCAATTCATGTTTGTCCCATTCTCCAGATGATATATGACCAAGTTTCTTCATAATTATCCTAATTATTTCAGGTGTTGATTCCAATTGTTGCAGGTCTTTGATTGTGTCCTCGCTCAGCAAGATATCCCATGGTCCAAGCTTATCGTCTTCATTGAATTCAAATGGAAGACGAAAGCACTCTGATGGCGCTGATTCATATTCCGTAAAGAATTTATTAGGAAAAGTATGATTAAGTGCTTGTTTGTGACAACCTATACACGGAAAGCCTCTTATTAAATCCTAAGTAAAGTTAAATAAGTTTTGCAATTTGTAAAGAATTTGTGTGATAAAAAGGGCTAATTTAATTAAAACAAATAAACAATTATTACCCGGAATGACTCTATTTTCCGTTGTTCAAGAGCTGTTAAAAAGTGAGGTAAATCTGATAGCTTTTGAGGCATCTTCATCCTTAATAATGCGAGATGCTGTTGATCTCTAATGGATAATAATGGAATCAAGTTGTTTTTACTGTCAGCCCTGCAATTTCTTAGAGTTTCCAATAGCGCAGTGCAAGCCTTGTATCCCTCCGACAATGATAAGTCATTTATATGCTCAGGACATTTTTCCGCAAGAGCAGCAACTGTGTCTACCGCCTTGAGTAACAACTCTAACTGCTCAATCTGATTAATCAGATTAAAGTCGAATAATATACGCTTAAGACAACGAAAACCATATATTTCCGATATCAAAACCTCTAGGATATTAACTTTCATAATTGTACTGAAGATGCTTATAATTATTCTAAAGTATGGGTTTGTTTTTTTATTTTCTTTACCCCCAGCCCACCAGAGAAGCTCAATGGAATTATGAAGGAGTTCACTAAAGCCAAAAGTATCGGATTTTTGCAGGTTTTCCTGGATTACATCGGTAATTAAACGTGAGATGAATCTAGCAAGTAAGATATTCTTGATGTTTGGAGCGACCTGTAAATATTTATCACAGAGGTAGGAAGTAAAGGTTTGAAGTTTCGGTATATAAATATTAAAAGAAACTGATAGTTTGACAAGAAACTCATCCAAGTCCGAATCTGACGCATAGAGACACTGTTTCTCCCATTTCTGTTCATAATTATTTGTGTCGTCATCATCCAGAATAACCATCAGAACCAGTTATTGTAAATAAATAAATAACAATTTGATGTAATAAGTTTTCTTTTAATGCTTAGTATGGCTTATAATGGTTTAGGAAAGAAAAAAAAACCAATAATTTACGATAACCGCTTTCTATTTTCTCTAAACCGAGAAAATAGAGTTTCTTGTGGGAAAAGTAATGTTCTCCAATACATATTTCACATGTTCTGGATAACAAAAACCTGAAATAGGTACTGGAGTTACTAAAAAAGAAAAGATCAGTAATTTTAAGTTTTTCCGGCGCAAGATGCAAATCGTATGATTCGTATAATAACATTCATAAAGAATCTTAAGTCACATCTTCAAAAAAAAAAAAAAAAAGTAATTATAATAAAAAATTGAATCCTAAAAACAAAAAGGATTAATTGATATTATTATTATGACAAACATATGCTAATTGCCATTTTCATTTAAAATTTTCATCATATATGAATAAAGTAATGTAAAATTATTGCGTCTAAAAAAAAATAAATAAAAAAAAAGAATAATGAGTTTCAGTATCAGGAATCTTCAGGATTATGATTTGCCAGGATTGTGAATGTCAGGATTGTATATATAAAGTCATGCTATTATAACCTAGAGACGTTTTTAAATTAAGAAAGTGTTAGGTAAATAGTGCTCCGTAAGGCGGGGTCGATCGAGTTTTTAATCGAGGCGGTATTTAGTGAAAATAATGACTCGTGACTTGCATTAACTCGCATGACGGTCCGTCGGGCTAGTTCGTTTTTTTGATCGGGGACAGTCCGAATTAGATTATCGTTTTTTTCTATAGCACTAAACCAGTACTAAGCACGATATTATAATTCTTTCATTTCTAAAATTTAACTTCGTATGTAAAAAAAAATTAATAATTCGAATATTCCGCCTTTCATATTCATGTTGTAGAATAAATTCACCTTCGCATAAATACATATTTTCATGAATATTATTTATATAAGTAAATTGTCCAATTCTTATACCTAAATCAATCTTTTATTTATTAGCTAGTTCCTTTGAATTTGGGCATCTAGTGATTTTAGTTTAATTGAATAGTTCATCATGGCAGATTTATGAAATACCCCAAAATTTGTCCTCATGTCAAATTAAATAAATATTTGACAGTGTTTTTAGTCACCAAATTTCTCAAATTTATTAGTGATGAGCTCTAAAAATTTTTTTGTACCCCAAATCTTGCGTCTAACCAATTTTCCCATTACCTAACCAATTTTTCCAGTTAAATTTCAAAATCCGCCGCAAAGTACAATTTATTTTTTATTGGTTTGCTATTTTTATAATACATCCTAATTCACGTTCAGTTTTTCCTACTTATTTTTGTTGTCATTTTTTAGGAAAATTGCGTAAAACTAAAGGAAAGAAAGTTTCGTCAAGCTGACAATACACAAATACATAAAATAAGTTACATGTACTGACCAATTAAAATTCCCATACTAAAGAAAAATTACTATAGGAAAATATGATTTAAGTTAATTTAACTGGTTAATTAACAGATTTATAACATAACTGGTTCGGATCCAATCTTTAACCGTGATGGATTAGAGCGAACAGATCACAACTCACGTATTATGGTGATAATACATTTATATAACAAGGGCACTACAACGCTGTGTCAAAACGTACAAATTCTTTATTAAAATTGTAATAGAAATGATATTTAGTTTATGCGTGAAACTTGAAATAAAACAATAAATTATTCATATCATGGATCTTACAATATAACCGCTTGTACGTTAATGAAACAATTAAATCTAGTCGGATGGAATTTTCATTCGTTCGGATGATCCGTTCTAATTTTTTGATTTACTTTCCTTTTCTACATCTTTGAAGTCTGAGATTTTAAATTTGATAAAGATGAATATACATAGTAATTAGAATTTATGTAATTAAAATTTATGTATAAGGTAAATAAATATATGCATTAGATGAAACAATTTTCTATTGATTTCAAATGTAATTATACATTGAGATATACTATGAAGTATCACCTGCTAACATTCAAAAAAAAAAAAAAAAAATCAGCGGCATACATGTATGCGGTTTTTTTTGTTATATCATATATTTTGGGAATAATTTCCAAGCTAACTTTGTACAAATAACATAAACTATTTCCTTACAATATATTTTTTTTTTAAAGTCAAGTAACGCATGAATTTATTATTTATAATTTATCCTTTTGCAATTTTTAGAAAAAAATTAATATTTGTATGATCAAAGGTGAGATGTATAACAATCCAAATCTTCGTTCATTCAGAAGAATAAGATGAATTGGAACTTCCTGACGGTAAGATTTTGTTTTTGAATGTTAAATTTTATTAACAAATTACATAATTACATAATTTAACAATATTTTTTTTTTATATTAGTATGTATATAGACGTTTTATTATAAAATAAATAAAGTATATTTTTAACATTTAAACATTTTATGCACGACAATATACAAGAAAATATACATAAATTTAATAATATAATAATGAGTTGTCACAAAAACTTTTGTTGAAATTACAAAGTATCATAATTCTAGGCCAAAATAATAATACTAAAGCTGACGTAGCCATTTAAAATTTCTAAATTTATCGCGACCGATATTTTCATTATCGTAAAATATTGATATGTTTGTGTAAAATATCGAGCAGGTTTACCAGGTTAACGTCGCGAAGTGACGTTAACTAACACCGTACAATATCTGTTATCCATAAAATATAAAAGTTTAACAAATATTTGATATTATAAAAATTTTATAAATTGTAATTTTGCTTTTAACAGTAATACTTTATATTTTATTAATTCACATAACTTCAAAAAGAATTAATAAAATAAATTAGTCGCACGAAAATCCCTAATATACAGTACAGTATAACAAAAAAGCTAAGCAAAAAAACAAACTTAATTTTTAATAGATCATATGAAATTTCCCGCATATCCCTAAACCCCTATAGAGAAAACCTAAGCTCAACTACCCGGAAAATGCCCTTACATAAATCTATATTTAAAGGAACCGTTCGACGTCACAGAAAATCCGAGAAATAAGAAGTCCCAACGGGACCTTGAATCGAAGCTCTATGCATCCATTCCTTTTCAGCGGATAGCAATTGGAGATGCTGCGTCAAAGATGACATTCAAGAAAAAGAGACAGGAGTAGAAGATGGTGAGGACTGAGAGAGTGGGCCGCGGAACCTAAGTCCTGATCCGAGATCATGTTCTGGGAGGACAACCAACTGGAAAAGTCAATGATTTATTATATTAAATATCAACACATTGACAGTTTTCATGGACGAAACCATATTCATCGGAAATAAAAAATAAGTAAGAAAGACGATGAATTACGTTTGAAAAAGATGTGATTCATTAGGTAACGATAGATGAAATAGTACATTATGCGAAGTTAATATTATTTTTAATAAAGTTTATTATTATATTTTAATAGTTATAAAATATACATTTTATATACTACATTTCAATATAATTATTATTTCTTAGTTTCATTTCACGTTCTAACAAAGAAATTTCTCGTTCTTTTATATCAAGCTCTCTCTCTTTGAGATAGAGCTTTCTCCTTATCATCCTATTGTAATAACGTTTTAAATTAATAAATATGTAAACCTAAAAGGAATTTATTCGCAATCTGGAAATGAATAGAAAACATATATACTCACGAAATTTTTATGTATTTTTCTTTTTTTATTTTTTCAATTTTCCTTTTCTGGTTCTTTGTTTGGTTCTTTGTATACATTTTTTAAAATTTCCGGACTTTTCCATAGTTCGTTCACGTGTTTTGAATCAGCCTATTGAAATAATTGAATATTAGTATCATGTTGATATAATAAAAAAAAGTATTAGTTCAATATGATCAGTGAGTGAAGAGGAAATTTATTGACTTAAGGATGATACATAACCGAATCCTCATTCAGATTCGGTTGACCTTTACAATAAATTTCACTTTCCAACTCATAATCACATGACTAAAATGGTTTCCTGCTTGGCTGCTTAAATCCGATTGAAAAACCTCACTAAGGCGCAGTCAGTGAGGGAGGAAAAAAAACAGGACATCAGGTAATGAGAAGTACTTCAATTTTCAGACAAAAAAGGGCTTCCTTACTTTTACTGTTTATCCAATTCAAAAACCTCACTAAGGCGCAGTCAGAGAGGGAGGTAAAAAGCAGGACGTCAGGTAATGAGAAGTACTAGCTCATACGATCCAAATTTAAAAACCTCACTAAGGCGTAGTCAGAGAGGAAGGAAAAAGAACGCAACATCCAGGAACAAGAAAGTAACCATACCATTATTAGCCAGAGTTTATGGAAGCAAAGTACACTCACTTTTTTATTTTTAATAAGTTTCTTGCTTTTTTAGACTTCTTCGAATCAACATTGTTTATTAACATGTTTGTTAATAATTTATAAAATGTCCAGTGCCCTTTGGTGGGTTGATGAAATATTACATTATTGATGGCCCAGCTGTCATAGTCGATTAATGACCATTTATCTACGTCTTGTACATTAAAGTAAATTTTATACTTTTCGTCCATATTAAATTGAAACTACGTTCTGTAGTTAAAGTCAGAAAATTTCAGTCTTTAAACGAATGAATGTATTTATCAAAATTATGTGGAATCAACTTACAATAAAAAAAGAATTATTATTAAAACAACACTATCAGAACCCAAATAAAAGTTTAATAAATCTTCGTAAAGTTGTTGATATAAAAGTTTCTGATATGGACGAGGGAAAAGATTTTTTTACTGATATTTATATGAAATTTGTTGTGGGAAGAGATAATTTTTTTTTTACTGATGTGGGAAAAGATCTTTTTTTTACCGATATTTATATGAATTTTATTGTGGGAATTCTTATATTTACTCAAAAGAAACCAGTTATTTTTTTTTGTAAACTTAATATGGTAATGTGATTAATCGGATCATAAAAAATTCTTTAAATGTGGAAATGATCAAATAGTTTAAAAAATTTTCCACGCCACTTTTGAAAAATTATGTAATTGCTCCAACCAAGTTACGCGATTATTGAATCTAAAAAATCACAAGTGATCTTACATACACAACGTGACATTTTGATGAAACGAAGTTTGCAATTTAGGGAGCTTAATGGCACCTGAATTTGATCAATACTGAGATTTTTTTCATATATCACTCATGTTCAACATGAATTTTCTTATTTTTTGGGACTTGCATTATCACTAGCAGAGATATTCCATTTCTGTTTCATACTGTAGTTAAATAAAGCTTCCGCAAGTGAAACGAGTAGTAAACAATCAAAATGCGTCGAAAAAAATTTCATTCAAAAAAAAAAAAAAGTTCTAAAAATTCTGAATAAATTTCAGAAATAATCAGCGGATCAAAAAATTGTTCGTATTGAAATAAACCTTTAAGTGAAAATTATGAAATCCTGATACTGATAAGTTTATAAAAGATACAATGTATAATGTAAGAGATAGTAAATAAATTCATGTTTATAAATTTCTTGAAAGGTATAAAAGAAATTGTTCGCAAAAATGTATTCTGCAACATGAATCAAAAACTATGATGGAAATTGGAAAAAAAGAGCCTGAGCACATAACCGTTGCTATGAAAAGGTTAAATGGATCAGAAAATATTTAAATGAAGTACGTATTTATACTATTCTGTTATATTAAGAATCACTGGAATTATTTATTTAATTTGTTACTAGTTGTAGCCCTGTTGCTTCGCACCACTGGCTGGAATTATATGATCGTCTTATAAATTTCGCTTTTTTGAATTTGTTTAACGTCACGACGTTACGTAATAAACTGGCCAATGGATAAGGTTGCACAATTTAGAATTTATTTATACAGGTAATCCAAACAAGTTTCTTGTTTATCAAAACAAGCTCAATAACTTAAGTATTTCTGAAACAATATTTTTTTTAAAAAAACTACTTTATTAATTATAACTACAAATAACAATCAATATAATGCATGCCTTAAAGACTACGTTTAAAAACTAATAAACTAAGCAAACGATGACTTAAGTAGATTTAACAGCAGCTACTTCATGTAAATAAGTACCAAGCAGTTTGATTCCTTGAATATAATTAGATCGATCAAGTTTTTCATTTGTCGAATGAGCGCCCTATGGAATTAAAAAAAAAGATGGTTAATATAATTATTAATCAATAACTGAGGATATAAATAATTCTTACGTCGTCTCCTCTACCCATTGGAAGCAAAAGAACATTCTTATTTAGCGCGTCTTGGAAAGTAAGAGTAACGGGAATGGAACCTCCTTCACGTGTCAGATCAGGTTTGCACTTAAAAACTTTTTCAACAGCTTTAGCTGCTGCGACTGTGAAAAATCATTCATTATATTAATAATACTTTATTTACACTCATGTTTTTCTTCTAAAAGATAAATATTAAACAAACCAAAATTCCAGTGATTTGGACTTGAAACCCATGCTTTGGCACCATGTAAACTTTCTATATTAAGTTTATTCTTACTGCCCAGTTTAGCAAATTCTTCTTTTAAATATTTTTCAACACAAGCTGTAACTTTATCAGGGTCCATGTTTGGAACTGAACGAATTGAGAATTTGCCAGAAACTTTACAAGGTAATACAGTTTTAACTCCGGGTGCAGAAAATGCTCCTTCAATGCCGTGTATAGATAGTGACGGATAGCGCCAGCTAATGTAACAGAAAATTAGTTAATTAATGACAATCATTTCCGTTTTTTAGTACTAGCAGAAGTAATTACCGAGCTTGTAAAGTTTGAGTTTCGTTATCGAATAGATTAGTTTGAGATTCGATAGCAGATTGAAGATCTTGTATTTTGAACTCAATTGCCTTATAAGTTTCCTTTTCCTCATCTAAAATATTAAAACTGTTAATATTTTAATAAACAAGTAACAAAATAATGATTTCTTACCTGTTAATTCCGCTACGTCGTCATTGATTCCAGGAATCAATATTTTTCCATCCGAAGTAACTAATTTACTGAATAAAATAATCAGATCCGTCATAGGCTCATAAACAGTACCACCAAAGACTCCAGAATGAAGGTCTCGCCCTGGACCAGAAACTGTGACTTTAAAATAAGAAATGCCCTTAAAAAAAGAATATATGAATGATGAGTAGGATATCCTTTTCATTATTACAACTATCAGCACAAATTATATTAACTACATACGCGTAAACCGTAAGTCAAACATGGTTTTGTGACACCCAACCAATAATTATCAGAGATGCAAACTGCATCTACGCCTTTAAAATATCTATTAGCCTCTCGTAGAATTAAATCATCTAATCCTTCGGATTCATTCTCCTCCATTCCTTAAATTAATAAACAAATAATTTTAAAGTTTTATAGTATATTTAAAGAATGTTAATTAATTTGATTACCTTCAAAACAGATCTTTAAGTTTACTGGAAATTCAATTCCAGCTTTTTGATGTGCTTCAATTGCATTAAGCCAACCAATAATTGGACCTTTGTCATCTGAGGATCCACGACCTACTAAACGACCAGTAGAATCTTCAGTTAGCTTCCAAGGATCTGATCTCCAGCCATCTTCAATTAGAGCCTTGAAGCAGAATATTAATTATCACAAATTTATTACGTAAAACGATTTCATAATTTTTATTTAGAAAGAAAAAGATTCCCTACCGGTTGAACATCATAGTGTCCATATACCAAGATAGTTTTTTTATTAGGATCATTGCCATAAGTACCCAACAAGATAGGTGGCAATTTCAAAGTTTTACCATCTAGCACATGAGTGCCTGGTTCAGCAGCTTCATAGCTATCCGTAAAAAAAAAAATAATAATTGATATCAAATATTATAAAGATAAGACAAAATCGCAAAATTTTCACACCTAATATTAAGTTGCTTGAACAACCCGATGAGCCAATCGCCCATCCGGTAAACGTCTTCACGATGATCTGCATCAGAACTCACACTAAATTGATAGTATTATCGTTCAGTTCATCCAAGAAAATTATTTATGTATATTTAATTATATTAAACATTAAACATCATCCAAATTTTATTTGAAAATAAGAGCTAAAATTAGACTATAAGGTTCTTCTCGCACAAATATTATATATAACCAATTTCCGAGATATTATTAATGTACCTCGGAATAGCTACTGCTTCTCTTAACCTAGTAACATAATGTTCCTGGTTTTGGTCAACGTAACTGAAAAAACGTTCCAACGTTTCCGTGTTTGCCATTTTGCAGTTTTAAATTTAAGTGAGTCCAAAAGAAACAATATATATTAAAAAAAAAGTTCATTTACTGTCCAAAATAGCAATGTATATTAAAAAAAAAGTTCATTTACTGTCCAAAATAGCAATATATATTAAAAAAAAGTTCATTTACTGTCCAAAATAGTTATATTAACGCTGCGCCAAGATAAAGATCAATAAACGTTACACAGAACATTATTTCTATTTCTATTTCTTTTTAAATAAACTAGTTGTAGCCCTGTTGCTTCGCACCAGGATTGTAATGCTGGCTGGAATTATATGATCGTCTTATAAATTTCGCTTTTTTGAATTTGTTTAACGTCACGACGTTACGTAATAAACTGGCCAATGGATGTAAGGTTGCACAATTTAGAATCAGGTAATCCAAACGTTACAAATTTTTTTAATTAGATAGATTGCAAATTGCAAATATAGCTTAAACTCTATAAGAAATCTGTATAAGGAAATGATACGTTTTGTACTTTTGATTACATTTTTTAGATAAATTCCGTGTATTTTAAAAAATTTACTATAAGAAATCTATATATGGAAATGGTACGTTTTTCATATTTTTATTAGTCTGAAGTGTAATTCTACACAAGGTACAAATATCCGAATGTCCGCCATATTGAAATTCGGTGAAGGATTTTTCCATTTAATAAAAATATTTGATATTTCTTAGCTTTTCTTGTAATTTCAGGTTCAGAATACCAGAATGCGTTTCACAAGCTTAATTATCTGCTTCTTTCATTTTATGTACGAGTTGTGGAATCGTATGATGAGCATGCAAATGAGTTTGATTATATGTAGTTAATTAGATATTATTATGTTTACTGAGAGTAATACGAATAGTAGTATATCTGTGTAACACAACTATAAATAATATTGATAATCAAAATTTTTTTTCATATCGAACCTTTACTTTCTTTTTCAATTTCAAATTATGGATAATATTTTTGAAGAGGACCTTATTTTAGAGGTAACTTAATATGATTTTAGTTAAATATTCATAAAACATACAATATACCCAATAGAGGGCGAGACAAAGGACCTATAGCTCGCAATGTTCAGTCTAACAAACGTAAAGGTAATTAAAAATTATGACTTTATTTAATTATGATTTATTTTATTGATTTTTTTTATATATTTGCTAATGCACAGGTTAAAAAATCGAATGTTACAAACAAGAAAACCAAAACAATTGTCACAATTTCTGATTCCGATGATAATTGTGATGATAATCATAATAAAGAAAATTTAAACTTAAATTTCAATGAGCTTGAATATCGAGAGAGGGAACTAGCTTTAAAAAAACGTGAAATTTTATTAAGAGAACGTGAAGCAAAAGTTCATGTAATGGAACTATCCAGAGAAGGAGCGTAGTTTATTGGTTAGAATAGCTTTATCAATAGTAAATTATAAAAGTAAAAATTTGCATTAATTAAATAAAAATGAAATCCGCATTTTATACTCAATTACTCTTTGCAAATTAATTAATACAATACATGTTTTAAATGTTACATACATATTATTACGTCATACAATACTCAATAGACAACCCATACGCATTTTCATACATTGTTATACGTGTTTTTAAACGACGCCATAAAATTGTTTAATATTTTATTGACATAAGGTTCGTTACTCTACATTTTTTGGTACATTTATTAACACTTTATACGCCTATTCAAATTACCATTTGTAATGCATACGTAATTTTATAAAAAAATTTATTTTTTTAAAAATTATATTAAAAATTATAAAATAATTATAAAAAAAAAAGTCTGACTCCCGATCAGACACGTCCAATCCCAATTGGACAAAAAGAAAAAAAATATAAAATAATTATAAAAAAAAGTCTGACCCCAATCAGACACGTCCAACCCCAATTGGACAAAAAGAAAAAAAAAAATTATAAAAAATATAAAAAAAAACATGAAAAAAAAAGTCTGACCCCAATCAGACACGTCCAACCCCAATTGGACAAAAATAAAATAAAAAAAATTTATTTATTTGAAATTAAAATTTTAAAGCCATGGCTCCTTTCTGGCGTTAAATTTACAATTTTTCGCTTGGTAAGATTTGCTGGACCAGTAGTGACCTTTAAACTCGGAAGGGATTTTATCGCAGTAAGCAGCTACCCAGCGGAAACCGTTACAATAGATGCAAGTTTCCTACAGTATTTTTATGTTTAAATTTAAGAATAAATTATTATTAGATAATTTATAAACTTTAATTTTATATTAAATTGATAAATACCAGATTGTGATGACGAGACGTGTGGTGAGGATAAGCGTGATGAGACATGCGACCAGACATTCGAGCGTGACGGGATATTTGATGTGGTTGTATCCGCAGCTGCTTTGATTTCATTGTTAAACATCTTCATTTTCTTCAACTTCTTCACGTTACAGAAATTATGTTAGAAGCGATATCTGTGAGCTTTTGTGTCTTTTATTAGACCTGCACGAAGACCTGGTTTTCTAATATTAGTAGAATTAATAGAAAATTTTATTTGACACACTACCTTTAAAATATTGTTTATTTCTATCGGTATGAGCCTAGCATATCGTTCCAACCAATAATTTCTGCTTATTTTTCCATAAATTCGCCATATTTGACGTATGTCTTTTTTAAAAGGCCGTAATTGTGTCATTCTTGAATGTTAAATATATTTTATATAATAAAATCTTATTACCAAAACTTAAAAAAATCATATTTTTTTTATATTAATTATTTTACTTACTATTGATTATTTTTTATCGAGTTAATAGCCATAAGGAAAACTTCTTTAGCATGTCGTTACGATTTTTTGTGCTTTAAGAACTTGTTCATTTATTTCAAATTCGTTATCTGTAGTT